TGATATAAAGCTTAAAGAATCAGTTTGTGTTTTTACCTGTATTATTTCTCTATGCTATGTGACCAAAGCATATTCTCAGAGTAGTGATAACCAGCCAGCAAATAACTCATGTAAACAAGTAGTAGTTCTGCTTAGTAGTAAGCCCCTGAGATTTCAGGGACTTGCTATCAGAGCATAATCTAACCTTTCCTGAAGATATACTTTACCTCCCAAAATGTCCTTAAATCTCAGAAGCAGAACTTTATTTAAAAATAATGGTGTGTTGTTTCACAATATTCAGCTGAAAAAACAGCTGATGACGAACCTATATTATGAACTGCTACAAATGGGTGGATTAGATAAACCTGTTTGGTTTTCACCTATTGCTTCAATTTTCAGAAAATACCCAGAGTTATTGCATTTGAATTTTTGTTGTCTTGGTGAAGGGAATTGGCAGTATCAAGTTAAAAACCACGTCATTATTTATGTAGAGGCATAACAAGTCAGAGAGAAAAGAAATGTCACAAAGAGACTTCTTGGAATACTGGCAAGAAGAGGAGACGAAAAGGAACAGTTGTTTATAAACAAAGGGAAAGGAGACAACATTGTCTTAAACTCTTTGACTTTGTGACTTTTTATTGCATAATTGATAAAAATGACCAGTACAATTTCCTGTAAGCCTGAAAGTGGGTTATACTCTGCCTAAGAAAAGCCACATATATTAGTTCTGTGGCCTAAAAGAGTTCACAAACTAGTCCTGAACAGCTTGTGTTCTGGAAATGCTCATGGTGGAACTCTGCAAAGTTCTTTCACTGAAGAAATTCAGAGGACTTTGCAAATTAAATTAGGAAAGTGTATGTTACTCTGTGTAAAAGAAAAATCATGTTTACATACCATATTGGTATTCAGATTTATCACTTTACAAAGAAAGATCAAATCAATTCCTTTAAACTGGGTGTTCAGTCAAAGCATTTAACATATAAGTTCAGTTCCAGTGTATTCCATCTCCTGTTTAAGTTGCTTATAAGGTTAGATTTTTTTTTCAAAGGATTAAAGACTTGAGAGTAGTGGCTGAGAAGCAGTACTTTTTTCCTCCAGTTTCCTCAAAGTGAGTATGACTTCACAAAGAGTGAAGACCAGTGGTTAGGTCAGTTACTTAAAAAACAAAAAACAAAAAACAAAAAAACACAGCTTTTCTTACTTGGAATTTACCATAACCAAAAAGGCCACTGGAATATCATTAATGGTTTCATGTTAAAGCAGAAAAAAAAAATGTATTTAGGGTTGGAAGAAGGTTCAGTGATTGCCTGCTGCCAACCTCCTCTTCACAGACAAGGAGAACAAGGTCAGGAAGACTACATCTTACCCGAGTTGTCCTAACCAGTGAGTGCCCAACTGGAATGAACATGCCACCTCCAGACTGACAAGGCCTGTATTCATAGACTGGTTCTCAAAGATCAATGCAACAAGAAGCCAAAGGCCTGTAGACTATGAGAAAGAACTATTGGCCAGAATGTGTCCCTCAGCAAACTATTTGGACCTCAGCAGACTTCTTTCCTTATCTGTACAACGGGGCTGAATATTGCCTGCCCTGCCCTCTAGGCAGATTTGGTTGGAAGATCAAATGAGATAAAGTCTATGAAACTTCCTTAAATGTTGAAACACAACATAAATAATAATAGTCCCAATTTGTTGAACACTTGGGACATGTCAAGCATTGGGCTAAGCATCATTTCATTATCACAGCACACATTATCACAAGCAAGAAAGCCATTACTTTCCTTGCATATATGAAGGTAAGACTTTGGTTAAATAGTTCACCCAAGACCTCATGGATTTAGACCAGATCTAGCGGACCCTCATACTTGAGTATTTAATTATCAATAGTATCATACAATAATCATGCTATAATATTATATAATGTAATACAATAATACTATATTACTATAATATATTGAATAGGAGAGCAATATATAGTGCATATTACTATATTACTGTAGCATATTGTATAATACTATACTAGTATATGGTATACTATTATGTAATACCATTAGTACTACATATAATACATATAATATTACTAATAGATAGGTAGTGCCACCCCCTTTAAAAAATGAATTAGGGAGAAAATAGCTTTAGCAAAAACAAAACAAGATTTCAGGGCTCCTGGGTGACTCAGTTGGTTAAGCATCTGCCTTCCATTCAGGTCATGATCCCTGAGTCCTGGGATCCAGCCCCAAGTTCAGCCAGGATTCTGCTTTTCCCACTCCCTCTGCCCTTCCCTTGCTTGTGCTGTCTCTTTCTCACTCTCTCAAATAAATAAATAAAAAATCTTTAAAAAAAAAAAAGGAAAAAAGAAAAAACCCCTAAGACTTCCGTAATTTCTTTTTTGTGTATAGTATGGGTTTTTAAAAACACTTTCCTGGGGCATCTGGGTGGATCACGAACCCCAGGGTCCTGGGACATGATCTGGGGTCCTGGGATTGAGCCCCACATGGGGCTCCCTGCTCAGTAAGGAGCTTGCTTCTCCCTTTCCGTCTGTCCCTCCCCCTGCTTATGCTCTCTCTCACAGGTTCTCTCTCTCTCAAATAAATAAAATTTTAAAAAATATTTTTCTTGCATGTGAATTTTAAGAGATTAACTTGTTAACATATTGAATTTAAGTAAATGTAACCTAACAGTCTTTTTTTGGTCATGTAAATTGAAAATTACAATGCTCCATTCAGATTAGACTCCTTTTACAACTTCTGGACAACTCACTGAAATAACCTCTTCACAGAATGTAATGATCAGCTTCTGTTTGAGATAGATACTCAATTTACTGATTTCCTATTTGTTTTCACTTTTAAACAAGTTGTGACATTTGACGATAAATGTCTAGCCTTTTACTGTTACTGAAGAACGCTTCGGTTTACTCAAGTGTATGTATTGGGGAGGAGAGGAGGGGAATGCTCAACTTTAAAAACTTTTGTCATTTTTGTTTCAACTATGACTAAATTGTAAGTCTTTGGTGAGTAACTGGCAACTCCTACCTGGGTAGGAGTAGGGGTAATGAAGACATCAAGAGTTTTAGTGTTTAAAATGTATTATTCTTTGTATTCCCCTCATCATTAAAACAAAACAAAAATCGCTTCTAGCAGATCAACATGACAAATGAGTAAACCAGAAGATGGCGTTGAAGATTAGCAGTCACATTTTAAAGCAAGGTAGACGTGAAGTCTCAGAAAGTTTCATACAGTCAGTGACTGTTGTTTTGCACTTCGATAAGTACATGAGTGAAGAAAATGTTGAAACTAAACCTGGTGCAGAAGATACGTGGAGGAAAGTGCAAAAAGCTCATTTGTCATTCTTGTTCTTAGCAATTTCTTTTTGTCTGTTGAGAACACTTTTGGAAAAAGTAACGCACTGATTAAAATGTAATCAACACGAAGTCAGTGCTCTTTGTTGTGTTCAATTAAGTATCCCAAGTACCTACAACAGATTATGACATGTGGCATGTGCTCAAAAAAATATTTGTTGAATGAATAAATCTGTGAAAGGAAAAGAAAGGAAGAAAAACAGGTTGTGACCAGAATTTTCTTTGAACAAAACTCTGTTGTTTATTACATAGACTCTGAGAATGGAAAACTTGCTTGAGTGAATAAAAATATGGCATCCTGTTAATTTCTGAGAAAGTCCATTAGTTTTAGGAAAAGCATACCTAATCGGTGCCTCACTGCCTCTTTTGCTCTAGCTTAAATTTAGTTTTTTCTTTGGATAGGAGTCATTAAGCCAAGATGTAAGTTCAAAAGAGAAAAAAATGAGAAGTAAGTGAAGTCAAAAGCTTTTCAAAAGTTGCAAGTTGACCTAGGGTGGTGGTGGTCTAAAATCATATAGAAACCAGTGATCTGACGGTTTACCTGAAATTGCTAAGAACATAAACATGCTGGCAGCATCCAAGATGCTCTGGTGAAAACGTAGTGGGCAGGCACACAGGGAGTTAATTTTAGTATTAAGGACATCTTGGAAAATTAAGTAAAATCGCAGGTGCTTTTAAATATTATTTCTATTCTGAACATTTATATCCCAGTAAAAATTTGCTTCCTACCAGACTGATGTTAAAACCATGTCATTTTAAAGTGAACTGAAGTCCAGAAGCAATTAAGCCTTTGGATACTTCGTGACCCCTCCCCTCAACTCTTTCGTGTCGCCCAAATTGAAATTTTAGGGGCGATGCACTTTCTGAGTAAACTCAATTCACCAGTTCAATAGATCCAAAAGTCTGTATGCATTGCAAACAGACAGACAGACAGTATTTGAGCCACAGTTTATAGCTAGCTTAAAGCATCTGAGCCATGCTTTTTCTTCTTTTTATTTTTAATGGTAGGATGTTCTCTAAACACCTAGGAGAGCAGGCTTTCAGCAATAGCTGCGATTTCAAGAGTGCAGCCATCCACCCACAATTCTACGATGTGGACAATTCCTCCGTTTTTGGTTACATGCTCGTCAAGTGAAGTCCCCTGCACTCCAGATTCCCGCTCCTGCACGCCCCCACTTCCCGTCCAAACCACATCGCAGTTGTTTAGCTGTTATTATCAACCGGGCTCCCGTAGGACCTAGTGCTCAGGCGAGGTCCCCATTTCGCGCCTTCCCCTCGGCAGGAAACCTCCACACATTAGGGTCCCCGAGGCTGCGCACGCCCGACTCGAGGTGCGCTCGCCCCGCGCCACGCGAGGTGGATCGCAGGGGGCTCTAAGGTCCCAAGCCTGGCGGCAGCTCAGACCCCTCAACACATGCTTCTTCTAGTTTTGGCCCCGGGACTCTCCCGCGGCGCCCCAGTCTCTGTTCACAGCGGCCCCCCACCCCCCCACCCCGCTCCAACCCGGCAGGCGCTTTCGTACCCGCCCAGCCCCGCCCCAGGCTCCGCCCCAGCGGGCTTTTAAGCTTTATAAGTTCCTCTTTCCCACCTCCGATACTTAGTTTCACCAGTTGAACTTGGGACCCACTGCTGCCCTCAGCTCCGAGTTGGGGGCGAGGTAAGGCTTGGGGTCGGGAAGGAGAACGGATGTGAGGCTGGCACTACAGAAAACCGGGAGCGCGAGACTTGAGGTCCCGGAGTCCATCTCGAGGGCAGCTCAGGGGCCCCCAGTTTAGGACCCGAGAGGGAGCATGCCCCTCGAAGGAGCCCCGATTCCCACTTCGTCTGCTTTGGGCCCCGGGACCTTTGTGTGGGCTCCGTTGAGGGCCACCTGGGACAATGCCCAAGCATTGCTCTCACCACTTCGTGGTTCGGCCCCGCCCAGACCCGGGGGAGACCACGCGCTGGACGGGATGGGATAAAGAGGCTGTCAGGGCCCCAGGAGTGGCCAAGGCGGGGCCATTCAAAGGACCTATACAGCACGGCAGGCTTTCTTGAGGAAGGACAGACTCTTACTCCAGAGGCTTCAATCCGGGGCTCCTTATTCTGCGGCCCTTTAGGGCCCAAACTTACCTTGGCCTCCGGCGCATTGCTCCCCGACTAGTGGTGGTGGAGGAGGAGCTCCAAATTTGGGCCACTTGGGGCCCTGCGCTCTGCTGCCTCAACCCGTGCCCTCTGAGAACCTCCTGGCTCCCTCTCCGCCTCCGCTCTTTCTCGCGGGCCTCCTGGGTCTGGCTGACACTGCGCGCCAGAATCTCCCGCTATTTGGCTGCGCTCCTTGCCTTGGGCCAGGTCTCAGCCGCGAGTTGCTCCCAGTGCCCACTTAGTCCTTGCTAGCTGCTGAATGCTCGGGGATTCTCTTGGAGCAGAGAGTGCCGGTATGGGAGGAGAAGGCCCTGGCAGGAGTTGCTGGTGCTGAGCACCTGGAATGTCCAGACAGCAGGCTTTCTTTCCCACGTGCGAGATTCTTGGCGCGCGGGGCCCACCAAAGGAGTGTGAATGGTGGAGTGGGCAAGAGTGGTAACTGACAATGAAGGGAGAAATGGTCTGGCAACGGTTTGGAAATAGGCAAAGAAGAGCGGGAATTGAGTGAGCACGGAAACGGTGCCAGAGGGGTGGCGGCTGGATTTCTCAGTGTGCGCAAAGGCAAGACTTGTGTTGCCCGGGCAGGGTTTGGTCTGTGGGGTGTGTAATAAGAATGGAGAATCCAGAAGGTGGGGCAGCAGGATGAACTCCACGGGAGGCACACTTAGGAGACTGAGGACCGGGAATGCCAAGGGGATGAGACCGGGCCAACTGAGAAGGTACTTTCTCTCATGGGCCTTTGGTGACACCGACTTTTACATAGCGCTCCTAGCTATCTCAGAGACTCCAGGGCCTCCTGGTCGTTGTCAGAAGGTTTGAGAAGGTGCTCCGAGCGCTGTGCCTGGGTGGATAACGGCTGGCCCTCCTCTGTGCCGCGCAGAGTGAGTGCAGGAGGCGGATCCTGGGCGCGTGAGGGCGACAGTCGGAGTGCGGGGCATGAACCTGGAGGGCAGCGGCCGAGGAGGAGAGTTCGGCATGAGCTCGGTGAGCTGCGGCAATGGGAAACTCCGCCAGTGGCTGATCGACCAGATCGACAGCGGCAAGTACCCAGGGCTGGTGTGGGAGAACGAGGAGAAGAGCATCTTCCGCATCCCCTGGAAGCACGCGGGCAAGCAAGACTACAACCGCGAGGAGGACGCCGCCCTCTTCAAGGTTACTAGCACGAGGGGAGCCCAGCCAAGGTGGGGGTGGAGGGAAGGCCCCAGAGAGCCGGGTGGATCCCCAACCGAGACTCGGTGGCGATCCCAGTGGACGCCTGGAGGTTCTTAGAGGAGAGGGGACAGCGCGGGAAGGACGGGATGGGATGAGCCCCGCAGGGCGGGTGGTCGGGGAGCATCAGGTGGCAATCCGCAGAAGCTAGGAAAGAAGAAGAGAGGTTTCAAACTTTGTAGTGTTTTTAGAAACGGGGGACCAGGTACCAATCCTGAACGTGTGGCATGAGCAGTACCAAGGGAGTCGGATGGCTCTAGCAGCAGGGAAATAAATGTCTGGCGGCTCAGCCCCCGGGAGAGCAGCGCTGACTTGAGGGTTCCTGTTTGCATTTATGTGGGTTCCTCTACCTCCATCGGAATCTCTTTCTGTACTGTCAACGTGTGTCTCTTTTTGTCTCCCTGTTTCTTTTCTGTGAGCACCGTTAGGTGTGCTTGAGTCTGTCTCTGTTTTCCTGTCCCTCTCACTAGTCTGTCTGTCTTTCTCTGTTTCACAGTTTTTCTCTGCAGGTGTCTCTCTCTCTGGATTTTTTTTTTTTTTCTTTAGTTCCCTCTCTGTCGGTCTCTCTATTTTTCTAGCTCTCTTTGGTCCTTCCATATGTGTTTCTATCTGTTTCTGTCTGATTCCCTCTTTCCAAGTCTCTAGACATTTTTCTCTAGGCGCACCTGTGTGTGTGTGTGTGTGTGTGTGTGTGTGTGTGTGTGATGATTGTTTTCCCCTACAGCAGTTTACCCAATGAACTGTGCCTTAGGACCCAGCCCCACCACCTGCAGGCAGAACAGGCACAGGGGACTTCCTCTGGAATTTGCTCTCAGAGTATCTGACCATTCAGATGTACTCAATGTGTAGCAGCTCACCCCTAGTTCCAGGGGAACTCACTTCAGACACTGTGAGGGGAGAGGGTGATTAGGGCCCCTTTCCAGGGACCCTCCACGTCTCACCTACCTCTTTTAAATACATAGAGAATGCTCAAACCGTTTGTCTTCAATTCAGCAAAGATAGAGTCCAAGGGGGAAAGTAGTTTACCCGGAGGAGACCTGGTGTATTTCTGTCCCATGTTTTGAGCAACAGTAGAAATCTGAGGCAACTAAGCATTGTTCTTTCCTTTAGAAATATTATGCTCAGGTTCTTTTTTTTAAGACCTATATTTTAACTTTCTTCCCCCTCTTCTTTCCCACAAGGCTTGGGCACTATTTAAAGGAAAGTTTCGAGAAGGCATAGATAAGCCAGACCCTCCTACCTGGAAGACACGTTTGCGGTGTGCTTTGAACAAGAGCAATGACTTTGAGGAACTCGTGGAGAGGAGCCAGCTGGACATCTCAGACCCCTACAAAGTATACAGGATTGTTCCCGAGGGTGCAAAAAAAGGTAGGGCTTCCTGGATTGGGGTCACAGAATATAGGCAGCCTGACAATATTCAGTTTTCAGGCCTTACTTCATTCTGAGGGTCTGTTTTTCTTTCTTTCTTTCTTTTTTTTTTTTTTCTTTTATAGCCTTCCTTTCTCCAGCCTCATGTTCAAGCCCAAGAGGCTCTTTGCCCAAGTTCTCAGGGTCATAAATTGAAATTCTTGTAGTATTGGTTAGGTTAATTTCTCAGATTCCAACTCTCTACCTGTGGGTGTATGCACATGCATGTGTGTGCATGTGTTTTTCAGTTAGTTCTATTGGTGTAAGATATGGTCCAAATTTTTCAAACAAAATATGGAAAACTTGTTCAGAGTTTTATCTTTACTTATCAGTGTTTCATGATTAACCATTCTGTAGAAAGGAAGTGTACATATATCCATATATTATTATTTATAGTAATAAAAATGTCAACTTTTTGAGTGTACTCTGATCAGCTGGGAGGCTTATTGAAATTCAGATCCTCTCTTTCCAAGTTTCTGACCAGTGTGTCAGAGTAGAGCCCAAGAATCTGCATTTTAAGCAGTCCATACAGATGACTTCACTTGTGAAGCATCTTGCTGGTGGGGCCCTTTATGTGACAAAGTGCATTCACACACAACATTTCATCCCCTTCTCTACCTGTCTTACATAGGTCAGACCTTGTAGAAATCAGTTTAATAACCTGAACAAGTAATTGCCCATGGGAATTACTAAAAAAGTACCTTATTTGTCAACACCATTATGCATTCTAGGAATTAAACTCTCAGGTGTTTTCTAAGATTTCACTTTTAGTTATGACAGTTCCTTTTTTTCACACTTTGCCATTTGCCTTTTGTCCAAACACATAGGAGCAAAGCAGCTCACCCTGGAGGACCCACAGATGACCATGAGCCACCCCTACACCATGACGACTCCTTATACCTCACTCCCAGCACAGGTATGGTGGAGGACATACGGCTTCTAGAAGGGAAGGCTGGGTATGGGTGAGGCCACATGAGCCAGTTAGAGCCACATGCCAGGAAAAATACACAAACAAAACAGCAGCACTTTGCTTTTGTTATTAGTCAATCAGCCAACGCAAATCCCCAATCATTGGATGATGTCTCACTTTCTGCCTGGTGTTACTGTAGGTGTTTGTTTTAAGGAGTGGAGAAGTGGATGTGTCTGCCTGTTAGCATGGACCTATGCTACTGATTCTGAAATCTGGGAAACAGATCTTTTGTGGAAGATGAAAATTTTGGAAGTAGTGCTTTATCATGTGAAACCACAGGGCAGCTGATGTCTTCAGACTTTTCTCATGTGAATTACAGCTCTGTTTTATTCACTTTGGTGGGTAGAAGAAAGCAAATTTTCCTGCAGTACTTTTGGTGCCAGGTTTAACCATATGATGAAGCTTTACACAAATCATTACTTTATAACACTGTCTTCATTGTGCTTTTTGATTCTTTATGGCTACTTTCCACCTAGTGTGATGAGCTATTCATTCCAAAGTCTTTTGAGATGGTAAAATGATTTGGGTCTCAGCCAAATTAGAGATTCTGTGAGGAGTCTGACTATAAAAGAATCTGCCCCCCCTTTCCCAGTGCCAAGCAACTGAACTTTGCCCAGCTGGTTGCCTTTCATCTCAGCTGCTCCCTCATCTTCCTTTAGCAGGTTCATAACTACATGATGCCACCCCATGACCGAAGCTGGAGAGAATATGTCCCTGATCAGCCCCACCCAGAAATCCCGTATCAATGTCCTGTGACGTTTGGATCCCGCAGCCACCACTGGCAAGGCCCGGCTTGTGAAAATGGTAAGGAGTGGAAGAGATTATGCTGAGTGAAATAATCAAGCAGAGAGAGTCAATTATCATATGATTTCACTTACTTGTGGAACATAAAGAATAACATGGAGGACATGGGGAGAAGGAGAGGACAAGTGAGTTGGGGGAAGTCGGACGGGGAGACTGTGGACTCTGAGAAACAAACTGAGGGTTTGGGAGGGTATGGGGTGGGGGGTTAGATGAGCCTGGTGGTAGGTATTAAGGAGGGTGCGTATTGCATGGAGTACTGGGTGTGGTACATAAACAATGAATCTTGGAACACTAAAAAATTAAATTAAATTAAATTAAAAAAAAAAAAAGAAAAGAAAATGGTAAGGAGTTTGCTGGGGCTGGTTTTTAGGCCTGTGGCTCACCCAACAGAACAAACCTGGCCAAAGGGCCCTGATTTCTTGTGATCTGTCCTTCTCAGAGCTGCTAGGAAAGACCTCATGTACAGTGAAGAAGAGAGTTAAAGTCCTCAGGGGAAGGACTCCAATGTTTACCGACACCTGGCCTACTTGTGCCAGGACCTATGCTGGGAACTGCCTTACATGAGATCTTATTTAAACATCACAGAAAAAGGCACCTGGGTGGCTCAGACAGTTAAGTGTCTGCCTTTGGCTCAGGTTATGCTTCCCAGGAACCACCAGGGATCCCCCAGGGTCCTGGGATTGAGAATCAGGCTCCCTGTTCAGTGGTGAGTCTGCTTCTCCCCATCCCTCTGCAACCCATCCCCCCACTCATGAGCTCTCTCTCTTGCTCTCTCTGTCTCAAGTAAATGAATTAAAATCTTTAAAAAAAATAAAAAACATCACAGAAAAAAAAATAAAGGGGACACTAATCTCAAAATAGGTAAATAAATAAAAATAATAAACATCACAGAGATCCATCCCAGGCAGCTAAAAACTGACCCCCCCCCTTTTAAGGGAAATTCACAGAATGTAAGTAATGGTGCAAGTTATCCAGTGAAAGTGAGGGGCTGGAGTTCAACCTCAGATCTCTTTCATTTAAGACAGAGGGTCTCAGATGTCAAACTAGTTGGCCATATTTTTTTTAATTATCGGTTTGATAGGTTAATATTTTTCATTTCCCTGAATAATCTTTGACAAAAAGTTATAGATTTTGTCTCTTAATGTTGACAGGGCCAATAATCTCACTTGTCTGTTTCTTTCTATACATCTGCAAAATGGGCATACATAGCTGTGCCCAAGCCTTTCCTCTATTGGGACGTCAGCAAATTATTGAGTTAGTGTATTTCTCTTAAACAGTAGTGTGCCCAGCGGGCACCTGGTTGTCTTAATTGGTAGAGGATGCCACTCTTGATCTTGGGGTCATGAGTCTGAGCCCCACATATTTTTTACTTAAAAAAAATAGTGTGCCTATCATAGTTATTTTGGGGATTAGAAGTGATAATAAGAATGGAATGAATAAATACTAAGAAAAGAAAACAGTCTCCATAAGGTGACTAGTGCTGGTGTTGGGGTCCAAAGAGCTTTGTTCACTCTGGAGTAGATGTGGTCCCATGCTCATAGGAGTTTCCCAGACATCAAAATGAGATCACTCAGTGGAAGCATTAATTAGCCAAGTGCAGAGAAGACTTCACACAGTGTATCGAATACAGGAAAACACAGACTTCTAGGACTTTTGAGTTAGATATTTATGTAGATTCCCTGAGATGGGTCAAGACTCAGATCCTTCAGTATTTCTAGGAGTATTTGGTTCTTCACTATTTGGTCCGTTCCTGTTTTTTTTAATCATGTTCAGGTCACTTTTGGCTTTAGGGGATTGATGAAGTATACTATCATTTAAAATTTGTTTTTAGGGGCATGTTTACAAAAAAGCACAGAATTTGATTTTATTAGCTTTTCAAAATTGATTTGCAACAAAGGTTGCTTCCCATTCCATAGTGGGGGAGTTGGCTAACAGTAAACTGGTGTTTCTGAAATTCAGACTTGAGTCTAATGCATTAGGCAATATGGAACTAAAACTTATTAACAAGGCAATGCCTCAAACTGTACAAAAATATGGAATACGTAGATATATTTTGAAGCATAGTTGGCATTAAATGAAGAATCACCAAAATTATGTTCTATCACATATTCTTTCTCTATTACTGTTGTAATAACTGTGGTACTCAGCTACTATGCTTCCAAGACCTATGGTTCAGTTTTCTCCCTGAAGCCAGAAGTAGAAAGCTAAATAAATGTGTAGTAAACAATTTGTAAGTTTTTAATTGGACTCTTTGGCATCAGAACTCAGTAGACCTGAGCTCTACTATGAACTTGCGGTGTGAACAAGGGCGACTCTCTCTGAGCCTAAGTTATCCTGTTTATCAGATAACATAGAGAGATGTTGCTCAAAGGGTACAAACTTCCAATTAAAGGTGAATAAGTTCTGGAGATCTAAACACAACATGGTGACTATAGTTAGCAATACTCTATTGTATTTAAAACTGCTAAGAGAGTAGATCTAAATATTCCACTATATAGCGCACACACACACACACACACACACACACACAATGGTAATTATGTGAGGTGATTAAGCTGTTAACTAACTTAAAAAAAGAGAAAATTATAGAGGGACTATTCCAAGTTTCCTTCCAAAGCTATGAAAAGTCTCCTTCCTCTTTCAATCTTGTTTTTTATGATTGGACTTCAACTTGTCTTTGTCACTTGAGAATGTCACTGGTCAGTTCTAGAGGGCACTTGGCCCCTCCCTCCCAGGGTTGGTGCACCCCCAGGGAGAGGAGACCTTCCTATGCGTCGTGGGACTGACTCTGTTTAGACATCATCTGATTCTTATTTACAAATGCAGGTTGCCAGGTGACAGGAACCTTTTATGCTTGTGCCCCGCCTGAGTCCCAGGCCCCTGGAATCCCCATAGAGCCAAGCATAAGGTCTGCTGAAGCCTTGGCGCTCTCAGGTGAGTGCAGTGTTTCCTTCAAGAGGCCCCCCACAGGAGGCTGGCTTCTGCTATGGATCAGCCCTCACCTTTGGGTATATTTGATTGGGGAGGGGAGTGTTCCTGAGCATAGACCATGCACATTGGCTTTCTTCCATCTGGGGACTAGAGTGGGTATGGACATAATCTGACTCCCAACTTCCATCAACGAGGAACATCATTAGAAAATTTAGTACTAGGAAGCTAGCTTTTGATTCTGATGCCAATTCTAAATGCTGGTTTGAACTGAGTCATTTTAAGGTTTCCACTGACATTTATCTGAATTTCCAAGAATGTGAACACCTCAGCTTTATATACCAGGGATCCACCCCCCTTCAGCCAACATCCTCACAATGTAGCATAATTTCTTAGAAGAATATACAAAGGTTTCTCATTTTAAAAAGCTGATCATCCTTTCAGGTTTAGCTACAAATAGTTCTTCCTCTCTGGCATCCTGGGAACATGAGTTCTGATTCCTTTCTCTTTATCACATTCATATGCCTAAAAGTTGTGAGCCTTGCAGTCAGTCTTCCTCTGAAATTCGGTGGGTTTTGCAAAAAATTGGATTAGAGCTGATTTTTAAAGATTCATTTCTAAAAGAATCTCTGCAAGCTCAAAGATCTTACCTGTTTTAAGGAAGGCACCTCAAGGTTTACTAAGCGTATGTGGTGTGTATATAGTTATTTTTTAGATAGTATTTTGAGTTGTTTTAAAATGAGATTTGTAATTACATTAAAAATGAAGACCTTAAGTCAGCCTCAGAATTCTCACCTTGCCCCTTGGGCTTTTTAAAAATCAATGATAGAAAAATATGAAGTAAATTCTGAAGGTTTCAGAAAGTTGTGGGCACCTTTCTTGCTTCCAGGTTCACCATTTCTTTTCAGTTCTGAAGTTCTGAATGAGGCTGCTGCCTTTCTTCTTAGATGCTCCTAAATGATGGAGGGGAGATGTTTTGAAATGGAAATCTCGTGCTTAATTTTAGAAACTTTCTAACGCTTCTCTTAAGCACTGAAGACCTATGTGGGTGCCTGGAAAGTAGGAAATAAACAGCTATTTATGTTACTGTGACCTATGATTTCTGATGACATTAAATGAAATGAAACCTGCCCTATAAGTCACCTCAAATGGCCAACACTCACTGTCATCAAAGTATACTGTCTGTGCTGGCTCTCCACTAGTGTGTTTACAGCAGCAGAAACTGAAGTGGAGAATTGAGATAGTGATGTGGATTAAGTCTCAAAACCTGCCATTGAGGAATAAGAGGTTTTGTGGGTTTCTTTTTTTGGTGTGCATAATGCAAATTAATTATGGACCTTGAGCATATTTGTTGGAGAACTGTAATTCCTATTTATTTTTAAATCCCATACAGTTAGGGTGGGTAGCTATTGCCTATACATGAAGCCTTTTTGCATTTCAATTAAGGGACCCTTTGCAAAACTAGCTTTGTTGTCCTTTCAGTTTGTGGGTCCTATTCTGAAGAAAAATGTCATAAGTGAACTCATCTCGTTAAATGTTTTAAAAAGCACAGTTATTTTCAAGGCAGATTTTGTTTTTTTGTTTTTGTTTTTGTTTTAAGATTTTTTATTTATTTGTCGGAAAGAGAGAGAGAAAGCACACAAGCAGGCAGAGAGGCAGGCAGAGGTGGAGAGAGAGGCAGGCTCCCCGCCGAGCAAGGAGCCCAATGCGGGACTCCTTCCCAGGACCCCGGGATCATGACCTGAGCCGAAGGCAGCGGCTTAACCCACTGAGCCACCCAGGCAACCCTCAAGGCAGATTTTGAAAGCCTAGTGGGACTTTAGCCTTAGAACATTTTTTTCATTGATTCTTTTCTTTCCACATGAATTAATTTTATTACACAAGTAGTACCTACATACACAGCATAAAAACTAATGTGACAATCAGAAAAGAAAATGTGGAGAATAAAACATCATATTCCTACCACACAGAAATCACCACTGTGCACTTGTATGTATAATTTTTTTTTATGTAAGTGACATCATATTGATATTTTAGGGTAGTTTCTTAGGTAAGCATTTTTGTTAATTTTTTGAAACACTATTATCATTACTAATAGAAATTAGACTTAGGGTTTACTTCCTCCAAAATCAAAACTGATTGCCATACTTAAAGATGAATTTTGTTCAGTGGTACATGACTTATTATTTTAGACATAATTTTGTCATCACCACTATCATCATCACCAAAACAATGACGCAGAAAGTTCTTAACCAGTGGTGCTCTCTAATATGCGTCAAATATATTGTGCAGAAAATTACTGTAAGGTGTGATCCCCCTCCACAAAAAAAATGTATGGTCACACAAATTTGGAAAATGCTGAGTTAGACAACATTAAATAAATTTCTTTCAGGATTTCCTTAATATCTTTTACTGTTTGTGACTCCCAGAGGGAGATGGGGGTATGCAGCATTTCCTACACTTCCTTGACCCTGGAACTTTCTGCTTTTAATGGAGTATCCTGGGACACTAGTGTCCCATCAAATACACATGCTCTGGTTGAATAGCTTGGCATCCTGATGTATATCCAATGCTCCTTGGTCCCTTAGCACTGACCTTGAAATCTCTGTGTTTACAGACTGTCGACTCCACATTTGTTTGTACTACCGGGAGATCCTGGTGAAAGAGTTGACCACATCTAGCCCAGAGGGCTGTCGGATCTCCCATGGGCATACCTACGATGCCAGTAACCTGGACCAGGTTCTTTTCCCCTACCCAGAAGACAATGGCCAGAGGAAAAACATCGAGAAACTTCTGAGCCACCTGGAAAGGGGTGTGGTCCTCTGGATGGCCCCCGACGGTCTGTATGCCAAAAGACTGTGCCAGAGCAGGATCTACTGGGATGGGCCTCTGGCACTCTGCAGTGACCGACCCAATAAACTGGAGAGGGACCAGACTTGCAAGCTCTTTGACACACAGCAGTTTTTAGCAGGTAATGCACCAAATGATCTATTAGAAAGGAGCATCCCACACCTGTGAGCCTAAGAGACAGAATGGAGGGGGTGACACTGTGCCTGCCACATGGTCCAAACAGAAGGTCACTCTCATCCCAGACAGAGGTCTTCCTTCTATTAACCCCTGAGCTGACCTGGCATGATCTGAGAATAGGTTTCTTGCTTGTTCATCTCTCACCTCTGCCTCTGCCACCTGGTCCTCTCCATCAACAAAGGGGTGTGAAGAGGAGAGAGATGCGTCAAGGAGATTGTGGTTCAGGCTGATATCTTGAAATTTGGTATTCAACAAATAGTCACAGACTGAAAAGGTTCACACTTTATTGGCAGTATGATCTCAGCAAACATGTCTGCTGATAGTTCAGCTTTTTTCGGGTTCCTAGGAAAATCATAAAGGTTAGAAGTGTATTGTTAACTTTCTTGGTTATGTGATGTGTTACCCCTATGCATATGCCCTCCAGCAGGTGGGACTAAGTATAGAGTATGTGGAACCAATTTTGCAAAGGGGAAATTTTTGAGAAAGCTCTGAGTTATCTCGATGATGTGTTTCAAATAATATTTTCTAAAACCAGTAAGTTTTTTCTAGTTTTGATTTCATGACAATTAAATTAGCCCCAGACTGGCTTTTGTGAAACCACTGGCCACAGTATTGTTGCAGCTTCATCCAGAATATTAATTTAGCTATCTATATTGATGATGCCTCTTTGGAGGGAGAAAGCTGTTCTGTCAGCTAACTGCCACCTCTTTCTGTCCCTTATTCTGTACCTTATCCTTAAGCTATTCTTTATAAGTGCCCCTTCAGTAACACCCTGTGTCTTTGGATTTTCATGTGTTTCTCCTTTCCCTGAATATGCTTCCGATTCAGTTTATGTAAAATAAAAATATGAAGCATCTATGTGCTTTGACATTGTTGACATTTGCTTAGCCTTTTGGGTTTAAGTTGCCCAAATTCATGTAGGCACATCCAAATTCTCTTTTGATGCCCCAAAACAAATATGTTCCTACATGACTAACCCTTGACTACGATGTATAACAAGAGGAAGAGGGAGAACTGAGCCTCTGGTTCCCCAAGGCAGCACCAGGATGAGAAAGGCAATTGGGCCTGAACACCCCTTTCTCCCTCTGAGCTGCAAAACTGCCTCCAAATCTGTGCCACGACTGTTTTGTCCGTCCTGGGATCCAGTATGGCAGTCATGGTGGCAACCCAAGGAAGAGTCTCAGGAGCTACTGAGGGACATCTTGCCTGCACCTCTTAAGTATGCAAAAGGGTCTGAAAGAGTCAATGCGTTGGCGGAGGGCGGGGAGGTTGGTTGGATCAGCTCAGAGACTGTGAATCTTGGTCTCTTTGGATTCAGAGCACAGGGCTAGGGCTTTAGTTAAGGTATCCAAGAGGAATGACACTTGCTTCTGTGAGTTTTTCTCACCATGTATGTTTTAGGAAGTTCAAATCCTACCATTCTAAGTAGGCTATAAGTACACTTTGAGTCACAGTCACTGAGAGCTGGATACAGGCAAGAAGCAGGAAGGCATGATGTACAAGCTGTGAACATCTGTAGGTTGTGAATTCACTTGCCTAGAATTTAATATTTATCTTTGAGCAAGAGTGTTTTTTTTCTTCCTCTGTAACCATGCGCTGTGCTTTTTGCTCATTGCCACCTCTTACCTTCAAGTATTCACTGAGGTTCAAGGAGGAACCTGTGAACTTAAAAATTGCTGCTGTGTAGACCAGCTTCTGCATAATCAAGGATTCCCACAGAATGCTCTCATGTTATCAAGCATTTAAGACATGACTTTTTCAGAGAATTGTGCCAACTTGCCACTCTGATTAGCTTGTGTAGGTGTAGTCTCAGACCTCAGTAGTGTGAACGCCTTTTACACATTCTGACTAAGTCAGTTAGGTTTGATTTGAATTCTGGAAGGAAAAAAAAAGAAGCAGGAAGTCAAACAGTCCAGTGAGTTAGTTAGAAACTTTTCTTCGGTTGAAGAGAACAGTGAAGATCTTTGATATCTCCCCATTCAGGATTTGCAAACTACTAGGGACAGCCCCTAAAGGCAAAGCCCAAGGGTGCATATCTGATCAAGATGCATGTGCATACTGTTCTGCAGAAGTTGTAGCAACAACCATGTGTGTTTCTCTTGGGGACACGACATTTAACTCTGGTGGAAAGGAAAGAATAGGAGCAGCTAAGGGGCTTAAGAGTCGTCTTGAATATGGGCAAAGCAACATGGATCAATGTCAGGGATTACACATCTGTCTTTCCAACAGTCTTTGTTCTGCATCCTTAGAGTAGGAGTGGTGACTTCAGGATACATATCCACAAGAGTGGGGCCCTTAGTGTCTCATCACTACATTTTTCATTTCAAATCTGTCCCAGAAGATGGGCAAGAAGTCAGCTCAAAGTCCCACAGTTTAGGCCTAGTGCCAAGGAGGAGACAGCTGCCCATCACTGATGCTCAGTCCCCAGGATAACAGTAAAGCATTTTCAGAGAAGCCTGAATCATGGAGAGGTCCTGAGTGGCATAGATATTAGATTATGAGGGCTCAGCAGTTTTGAGATGACATTTTTGAATAATCAGAAAATTTTTATTTTTTAAATAAATACAATTTCTCCTTTGTATAAATTATTCTTTTGCCTCAACATGGCTACATTTCTTTTCCTTTTTCTTCATCCTTCACTCCTTTCTGCTACCCTTTGCACTCTTATGGGTCCAGTGCTGCAAATGAAGGTTTCTTAATCTGCAGGCCATATTTCCCTTAAAGAATCAAGTGAGGGGCTCCTGGGTGGCTCAGTTGTTTAAGCATCTGCCTTCAATTTGGGTCTCAGGATTGAGCCCTGTGTCATCCTCCCTGCTCAGCGGGGAGCCTGCTTCTCCTCCTTCTCTTTCTCCCTGCTCGAGCTTTCTCTCTCATTCTCTCTCTCTCTCAAATAAATACATAAAATTTAAGGAAAAAACAAAAAGAATCAAGTGAAACCTGGAGCTCTCTCAGGAAAAGCATACCTATGAACACGTACATGCAATTCCATATTTGGGGTCTATAAATTATGAACCCAACTGAGAGAAATAAAAAATACTCACTCCTATTTTAGTTTTGCTTCCTCTTTAACCTGGCATGTTCAGTGATGGTTTCTGATCAGTTTTTTTGTTTGTTTGTGTTTTGTTTTTGTTTTTTTTTTCCTGGGGCTTCTCCAGAGTTGCAAGCTTTCGCTCACCATGGCCGTCCCCTGCCAAGATTCCAGGTAACTCTGTGCTTCGGAGAAGAGTTTCCAGATCCTCAGAGGCAAAGGAAGCTCATCACTGCTCATGTGGGTATTTAGTCACATTCAAATGATTAGCTTTCCCTGTTTTTCAACAAGGGCAATGTCCCAGTTAGAAAAGTCTCAAATGAAAACTATATGTCAAGTGACAGGAAAATTGTGAGGGAAAAAGCATGGCCCAGTGAATGGTGCAGGAAGCACAGCCCAGGGAACCACATGTTTTTCCCAGCCCTAGAGGTTTACTCATCACAAACCTGCAATCATGGGTTTCCTTCTTCCGATCTTGTGTATCAATCAAGATATTGTCCTATTCCCATTTTATGAGGATTTAAAAGGACTAGCAATAAAAAGTTTCCCTTTAAAATTCTCCATGTTTAATATTGTTTTTAAAATGCTGTCTGGCTGATCTTTACTTGATGGAGAAGCTTTTCCCAAATGGAAAGCTGTCCATTGACTTACATATTTTGCAGTCCCCTCCAATTTTTTCCAAATCCTCTTTTACTTCTGAATTTTTAGAAATTATTCAACTAATGGAAACCAGGAGTCCTATGTTATTTGGAGGAGGCTAACTCTGTCAACGAATTTAAGTAGATCAGTGTTCTCTAGCAGAGTTTATAATAGGGTCATTTGGAATAAATTTGTCATAAAAAACAGAGTTTTGGATACACAAGATTTTGAATTTGAAAAATTTACATTGCTACATACCTTCAAGAATTATTAATGAGCCCAGACAATAAGCAGTAACAGATAAAAAATATATATATACACCGAATAATAGAAATACTCAGGCCATATTTTAGTTCCCATAATGTTTTTTTATTGACAACTGAAATAAAACACTATCTAATTTTAAACACAAAGTACCCCCTCTTGATAGTAAAATCAAAACCAACCAACCAACCAATAAAAATATAGTCCTGTAGACTTTAGAGCTTTTTCATGAATTATCTCTAGTAATTGATATAATAATTGATATCTTATTAATAGCTAGGGTTATTAAATGACCAAGTAAACTTGGTATTGATAAATAATGTTTCAAAACCTGGTGAAAACCTCCCTCATCAGTCTGATTATAAGGGTTTGCTGGGTGCTGTAGCCCTCCACTAGGTTAGGTAGCTATGTGTTCCTGCAGCAAGGGTCCCTGGAATTGAGTTGTCTGGGATGGAAAAGAAAAATGGGTATGTGTACACCCAAGAGTTCCTACTTCTTTTTATTATGGATTTAATTTATTTCAAGTATTTCATATGAATTATGCTTTAAGTTTCTATATATCAAATAACAGCGGCTCAATTTAATAGCAGAATTGATTAACAAAGTATTCAATTTTCTTAGATGCTGTAAATTAAGGAAAATTCTGAAAGCTGAATTGTTTTAGTGACTATGAACACATAAATCACCAAACTAGAAGAATTAACCTCTTTCCCCATAATAACAGTGTTTTGTTTTGCTCCTTTCTTTTTTCCTTTATCTATACAGATTATCTAGGTCATCCAAGAATTGTAAATTGTTCAGGATTTATACCCTCATCCTTGTCAAATTGTGGCTATGGAAAAATTTATTGGCCTAAATTATTCTGAGTTACCTCAAACTTCATTAATCACCTCAAACTTCCTTTTAATTTTGTCATTTTACCTGCTTTGCTTATGCTTAGTTAAACATAAGTTTTAAGCAAAGCTATTAATTTGAAAGCACTTTTGACTTTAACTAGAATAAAAACTCAGAATTAAGTAGCGTCTATTTATAGGTTATGGTGTATGTAAGTGTTAACAAAATATTACTTTTTCAGAATGTTTTGATTTATGTAGCACCTAATTTTGGATTTAACTTTACCTTATCTTTAGATACAGAGTTATTTAATGATGAGCCAATTACAGGATGTTAAAAAGAATATTTCAATAATATCTTTTTAAAATCTCTTATTAAAGGTCGAACCTCTACTAGCCAGACAACTATATTATTTTGCTCAGCAAAACAGTGGACATTTCCTGAGGGGCTATGATTTACCTGAACACATTAACAGTCCAGAGGATTATCACAGATCTATTCGCCACTCGTCCATTCAAGAATGAAAATGTCAAGACAAGTGATTTTGTTTCATTGTAAATATCTGACTTTGACAGGAAAAGCTGATTGAAATCCCTCTTTTTCTTTTGAGAAACTTGGAAATTGGGGCTTCAATTCAACACTTGAGGAGAACCTCAGCAAGAATGGGTGTAAAAAGGCCTGCTCCATCTAATTGACAGATGAGCTTATGCAAAAAGGAAGAAAGGTTTTCAGGGTCTTCCATAGACTGCCATCTTTGATGATTACTGTGAAAATTGACCAAAGGGTGTGTTTACATTTACTTAAATGCTATCTTTAATTTGATGTGGATTATTTTTCACTTGAAAACTGAGAAAACTTGTGTTTCAGTATTGACCACTGACTAGATGGATAAAAGCACGTAAGTGTTGTACTATTTCTCAGGGAAATAATATCTAAATTTGAAGTGACTCTGCCCACAAAAGAAATGTATTAATGCACATAGAAGATGTTGCTCTTAAAGAAAATGCTTGCTGTTAGAAAGAGAATCTTTGACTGAGGTTGCCTCAGTCAGTGCCTCCAGCTTTGGGGTGGCTAATCATCCCCCTCTGGCCTGGGTCTCACCCAGCATGGACTTCCCTGCCCTGTCTCTCACTGCCCCCCATTTGCTCTCTCTCCTTGGGTGCCCCTGGGAGCCAGTTGTATTTTCTGGAACCAAAAAGCATTAGGGCTACCCTTGATTAGTGTATTTTTGTCAGTTCTACAATCTTGTAATGACTGCTTAAGATATTTTTTGTTTTTCTTTTTCTCATTCTGTAGAAATTATTGCTAAAGCTTTTTTCTCAAAAAAGAAAAAAAAGATCAACAATCCAAGTACTAAAGATATATTTTTGAAACTCGGTGACATTTCCCCTCTTACCCTGTTTGTTTTGTTTGGCTATCAGTTAGTTATCCATGACAACACTAAAGAGGAGGAGCCGATGCTTTTCAATTTGGTGAACTCTGTTAGGAAAGATGATGACAGGATTTCACTGATTGCATAACTGCAGACTCAGTGCGCTGTTTTTGCTTATTTTGTATATTATATGCTTCCTCATGCCAATATGGTTTGACAGGACCTTAAAATTACTGGGCTTTTTCCAAATACATCTTTTTATAGAATCACTAAGATCTCCACATGCTTAAGTAAACTCAATCACTTCCTTGTTGATTGTTTTGGAAAAGTACAGATGTTGAGACTGATGCTGGCAACTGATATTTTTATCATACTACAAAAAAACTGCCATTAGTTTCAGGCACAGCAAAAGACTTAGCAGTTCTCAAATATATGCCACTCTTCTTCTAATCTATATTTTTAAATTCATTCAACAAACTGTATCCCTTGCATTAGACAGATTATATTTAGCCTTTATCCAGTTTAGTAAGCAATTAAGCATGGAAATATCATTTTTTTAACTTTTAAAAGGGTTTTTTTTTTCCAAAGATTTTATTTATTTACTTGAGAGAGAGAGAGAGCGCGCACGCACAAATGAGAGAGAGAGCATGAGTAGGGAGGAGGGGCAGAGGGAAAAGGAGAAGCAGACTCCCTCCAATGTGGGACTGATCCCAGGACCCCAGGATCATGACCTGAGTCCAAGGCAGATGCTTAACCAACTGAACCACCCAGGCACCCCAAAGAGTTTTTAATAACATAATACATATTAACTTCAGAAAATGTAAATATAGACAGGCAAAAATGAAGAAACATCCTATTTCTTTTTCCCAGCCCAAATCCTGCTCCCTTAAAATATCCACAAGAACAGTTTGACTTATTCTTCCAATACACTTCACGTCTCTATAGATATACATCAGCTCAAAAAAACCTTATAGGATCACCTTGCAACCACTTTTATGCAGGGCTCTCTTAACCTAACAACACAGATTTACCTCACTCTTTTTAGAGGCATTTTCGTTACAGAATTCCACCACCATGCAGTCCATAGCATAGTTTAAGGAATTTCATCAGCAGCTAAAAGGGAATACACATGGACAGCAGATTATATTTTGTGAATTGCAGTAATTTATACATCTTATAGATGCAAAGTATTTTAGGATATATTATCCTAAGGGGAAATTGAAAACAAAATTAGGAACAACTGTGACACAGGCCCCAGTGTATGTGGCCCTCTTCCCTGGAGAATATTTAACCCCACACCAGTGCTTCAGAGAAGTTCTCTGGTGTCAGTCCTAGGGGTGCTGTGTCTTCTGAATTCTCAAAGTAGATGCTTTGATGCTTGATTTCTATTGTTGCGAATTCTTTTCTTCTTTCTTTCTAAATATTAATCTGCTTTAACACTGGAGTTGTATTTTCTGGAAAATAGTCTTGACTTGGGCCACTTTCCACTTTCTCTTCTTTAGTCCCATCTACTTTGACATTTTTTTTTTAATTTGGAGAAATCCAGACTGTGTGCTAATGAATGAATTATTAAATAATCAGGGTAAAGAATCCTGACAGCTGTTTCAGGACTTTGAAAATGAATGATTGCCTCATTCCTTAATTTGATAAAGTAGAATTTAGTTTGTAGTCAATGGAAGATACTATAGAGGACTTTAGGCATTTATTATGCTAAAAAGCTTCAGATGGGAAGGTTAAAAAATGTTTAAGTCTCCCAGCTGCATGTTCTAATATTTTGTTTCTTATTCTGTGTGTTTGATAAACAGTGGGCAGTAGTTGATGTCTTCTGAAACACTGTAAAAACCGGGGTGACCAACCTATTTCAAACCCAAACCTTGGAACCCCCTCAGTTCCGGGCAAAACCGGAGAGTTAGGAGCCCTATTGAGAGCCCAGCAAGACTGTTGCCTTTAAGCTAGGAAGACTCTGCTCCACTGGGACATACAGTTTAAAATTCTGCATGGAATGAACAACACGACAACATGGTTATCACCAAAGCACAGATATGCCAGGTTTGTGTTTATAAAAAGGCACACACTGGGCTAGGGTATGAGCAAGGTTTTCTTTGCATGTCACTATGTGTAGGAGTCTTGGTGCAGGGTCTGGCATGGGCTTTTGCCTGAGAGGCTAAACAACAGGTGCACATGCATCCCAAGAGAAGCCTTGATCCTGTGTTTGCTGTACCAGTGACCATCAATTTTTTTTCTAGCATATATATATATACATACATACATGTATATATGTATGTATATATATATATACACACATATATGTATGTATGTGTATATATATATATATATATTTTTTTTTTTTTTGCCAAACACCTTTCATTCCTCTTTGATCACATTTCCCCTTTCTCCACAGGTACATGTTTTTCTATAAGTGGTGAGCTTCCTTAAAGTGTATATTTTTACTATATATCTCCCTAGTTCATAGCGGACAGGCATTTTTCAAATGTTGCATTAGGGCTATCCTGCCATATGCATTGTTCTGCAGCTTACTTTTCTCATAGCTCCATCTTTGAGATTGATCCATGTCAAGGTAGGTGGGTCTCATCCATCTCTTGTTAACTGGTGTCAAATAGCTTGTCACATGAACGCAGTGAAGGTCAATTTTCCTGGTATTTATTCTCACTGCTTTCAGGAGAGAATGTAGGTGAAGTGTAGTTGAAGTGAGGGAAAAGAAAGATAGGATGTGGAAAAGAACCAAAAAGTCCAGCAGGCTTCCTCCAATATAAACTCCTGTTTTGCTTTACACTCTGAGATGGAAGGAACTTAATGGGTAGTGGGATTCGTTTCTTGCACCGCATCTAGATAAGTGGCTAGGACCAGGCAGCTTCCTTGGCTTCAATCCATAGCTATGCTGGCTCCATCTTGCTGCTAGGTCTCCCAGACAGGGTGTCTAGAGAACCAGGCAGATCATTTTGTGGAAAATGATTGTACATAACGTCATGAGTTTTTGCTGTAAATTGCTTTTCAAAACAGATTGATATTCGTGATAATCTGGTATTTTATGTAGTTGTTAAATAAAGACTTTTTAAAAAAAGTAATTTGTTATGAGCTCTGTGTGTGTTATTAAACACTCATCTTGATAGCTTTTAAAATACTTCCTCCTTCTGTTGTGTTCTTTCAGAGAGGCTGCTTCGGCAGCCTGCTTCCTTCCTGGTTGTCATATGCGTCTGTAAAATCAGATCTCAAAGTGCTCTGCCAGTTTTTAAAAAAATTAGCAAAACTTGTCCCAGCATAGGGCAGTTTCTCAGTGCATGGAAACACATCTAAGGAGAGTATTGAACAATCCTTTCCTTCTTCTCCCTTGTGTGTTTTAAAAGGCATAGTAGACCCAAGGAAATTGTTAATGTTTCCTTTTATATTCATAGTTTCTTTGATTTTGTCACTGCTGTTAAAGAGGAGGGGATGTAGGTTAACCAGCATCCGGAATGTGAAATATAACATAAAACTGTGTAGTAAAAAAGCCTATCAACTGCTCACAAGTCTAGTGGGAACTCTAGAAGGACAGGGTTGCAGGTTGTGATGTTAAAAAACCTTGCAGCCAAGATTTTGTGGAACTGTCAGAAGTGTTTGTAATCTGTGTCTATGGGCCCCAGAATATTAGCTTAGAATAATTTTGAATTTTTTAGGTGGTAATCAAATAGATCTAGTGGGAATATAAACTATTGTACTGTTTTTTGGGTCTCTATCTGCTCAACAAGTAAGGATGAACTTGAGTCAGTATTTATAAGCAAATTTTTCCAAGTAGTATATCAACTCCTTATGTCTAAAAAAGAATTTCAAAGAGATTTTGAGCCCTTAAACTTGTTTAAGTAATTTCACACCTCCCTCGGGTACCAATGTTTACAAGCCTTTCTTTTTACACAGTGGAAGTTTGACTGTATTGGGTTCACTTTCCTCAAAGCAAGTATTACTTTGACAAATAAATACTTTTACATAAAGTTCACTGACAGTGTTTATTGATGCCAGAAAAAAACATCATCAAGTTCTACATCATCTCTTTGGAAAAACACTCCAAGGGTCATAATCTCTCTCTCTCTCTTTTTTTTTTTTTTTCCCTAGGACAGTCCATGCCTAAGTTAACTCAGGCAGATAGATATCTTCTAAATTAGCAGAGAGTTATGAATTATAGGGTGCTGTAGGTATCCTTCAGTGACCTTCAGGTCAACTTCAGTGACCCCTGCTACTGCTAGGTTGACAGTATGTTGTGGCAGATGGCTGTCTTTAAATATTTCCTCTGCCATCTTTGTTTAGACCATCTGTCTGCCATAATCGATTGTAAAGTTCATTTTATCCTCGTCCTTGAGTGACTGTTCAAAAGTTTTGAATTGGTGTAAGTTCCAATTATGAACATTTTATTAACTTCGCTGATTCTCTACTTTAGGTAAATTATAATTCTCAGTTCTTTTCCTTTTTTTTCATGGGCCTAGACATGATGGTGGCTTTAAAGAGAATCATTCCAGCAAATATAATTTCCTTTGCCTTTGTTTTCCCTCTCTTTCTGAGTCAGGTTTCCATAGCAATCTTTATCTGGAAGAAAATCAACAAACACATCTGAAACCTCTACCTTTATTTCTTGCTATCCCCCATTCTGATTTCATATTCCAGTTCTGCTGAACTATTGCAGTGCCCAAAGGCACCTCTCTTTTCTCTCCCAGAAGACTTCTCCTGCTGCTGCCTGGGCACCTGGCTAACACCTTTTTCTCTACTAAGTTTTAACCATGATGTCTTCTCTTTCTGGAAGCATTTCTTCAACTTCCATGACTAGGTTAGGAAGCTTTTTTATTTGTACCTTCTATTGGCTCTGTAAAGGAACGTGTTGTTGGAGTATTGAGAAAAGTACACTTGTATGTATGTACACTCTCCCCCCTTGACTGTTTCCAAGCAGTTAGGCCATCACTGCTGCAGAGCAGAAAGAAAATAACCTGGTTGTCTGCTCCTGGCATTCGTCTTCTAAAGATACGGTTTCCGGGGACCAAAAAAAGGGGGGGAGGTGCTCAAGGAAGCTGGGTATTTAAGCAAGATAAAACCTTTCACCCTTTCTGGTCTCCCACCCCAGATTAGAAAAAAATGTTCAGAACATCAGGAAAGAAGAATAGGAAATGAATGTAGGAACTTCAGCGGCTCCCTGATAAAGGAGAACTATCCACTGCCTCCTGGAGAAAGCCTTTAGGGAATAGTAATCCTGAGAAAAGTCTGTTGAAAGAATAGTGAGGAAACACAGGTTATGGAATGGTGGGGGATTGGGAGGGGGACAGAAGGATAGCTCCAGCTGTTTTGGCCAATGACCATCAGACTGGATGGTGTGCATCCCAGGATGAGTTTGACCAGAGATCACACTGAGGACCAGAGCCCCTCCTCACTTTCTCCCCCTACCACTTGCCTGGGTGTCAAAGAAGCAGTGCCAAATTTAGTACCAACTCAAGGAAAGAGGAGAGATACAAAATGAATTGACATTGAATTTTCATTGTCCTAGTGGAATAAAAGCTAAAATGAAAATTACATTGTTAAAGAAAATATGAATTAGAGTTCT